GGACCATACCCGTACAAATCCGGATCTTGACCCGTGCCACAAAGGCCCGTGCCTATCCGAAACCAACCCGTACCGATCCGATCCATTTTTCTTATAGGGAATATTTTAATAAATATTTTATGGATTTATATTTTAACCATAACTACTTTTCAATATTGAAGTGAAAGCTTATTGGATATTTGTGCCTCAAATGATTATATTCTTGTTTTGAAATATGTTAAGTTAGGTTCTCTTCGCAAAAATCTTACTCTGTAGCACAAATGGAAGGAAAAAATAAAATAGGATTACTACTATGTATTGATTCTGATATACAAATTATTCATTCACGAGGACTTATTCATCGAGATTTACCGGTAAGGGTAAGTTATATATAAAAATTTCCTTTCTTAAAGGTAATCTTCTCATTTGTTAAGTTTTGTTGGCAAGTATAAGACTGTTAATCAAGGTGTTAAATAAAGTGAATAACTTACTTGAAATTTTGTTCTCAGTGCCTAAATGCAGGAAATTGAATTATTAAAATTAATTTAATAAAACATACTCCAGGTTTCAAATTTTTTGCCTAATTTGAACAAATGATATAACCGATTAATCAGATTAGCTGGATTTAATTAAATCGAATTATAATCTGTTGTGATTTTTCAAAAGTTGTTTGGGACACCTGATAAAAAATTAACCGAATGATTTTCGGCCAGTAAGGTAAGTTATTGACTTCAGTATGGATCAATATACTGTACAAAGATATATATTTTTATATTACATGCAATTCTTGCTCTACAGGCAATTTTATCATGTCGACATATTAAATATCTGTTTGAATACACCCAATATGTTTGATATGTTTAATTTGTACGAAATTTTTAAAGAAGCTCTGGATATGAATAAACATTTATAATAACCATGTTATAGAATAGGTACTAATATTAAAAAGTTAGATATGATAAGAATTTTGTGACTGATTTAAAAATGTATCTAGGCTTTTTATTGTTTAAATGAGTGTACTGCATTATATTGTACTGGAATGTTACGTATCAATTCTATTTAGTTATATTGCGATTCTATCAATTTTTATCGATTTCATATTATAATTATAGAAAAATTTCTTTTGTTTTTAAAAAAAAATTATTGTAAAAATTTTTATAATTAAAAGGTGATGTCTTTTTGTGAAATCCACCGTAGAATTCCAAATCGATTTACAGCATATATTTGATACAGAATTCGATACAGTATAATAGTGAACACATAAAATCCTATTTATATTAAGCTGACTTTCCAAAAATCAACCGACTTAGCCGGCTAAGTCGACTAAATCGATTAATTCCTAATCTGCTTATAATGATACTCGGTATTGTAAGCAGTGTTAACGTTACATTATAAATAATTTTATCATAAAAATATTATGCATATAAAAAAAAAATGCTCATATTAAGATGATTTTTAAATAAATGGTAAAGCTATTATAAAAAAAATTTAATACTTGATCTATGGAGCTGTTGTATAAATAATTTAACTCATTTATGTTAATATGATACTACTTCATGACAACTATTTTCTATAGTGTTCATTTTATTTGCACTTCCATATGTACTTTGTTTATACTTTCTTTTCTTATAATATCTGTAAAGAAAGTACATTATAATAGCAGAGATGATAAATCCTAATACCGTTCCCAAAGCAAAATTTGTAACTTTAGCATTAGATTGGCTTGACTGACTTGGTTGGCTTGATTGGCTCGATTGGTTTGCTGAATTTAGTTGGTTAGTTGTTGTATCATTTGCCAATAAATTGATGTTAGCAGTAATAAGAGTTGTAACAAAATTAATATTATTAACAACATTTCCAGTTAAACCCTGACCTACAATGAAATCAATTGTCTCATTTGTTTTGATATAGATCCCACCATTACTCGAACTATATGATTTTGCAGCCCCAATACCAAATAATTCTTCTTCCCAAAGTGTTTCAAGGTTATTATATATTATATAAAGTCCTGTGCGAGAATTACTTGCATGATCATCAACATGAGTAAATGTTAAACTCAAAGAATAATTTCCATTATTTGGCGCAGTGAACCTTATCACAGACGGTGTACCAACACCATTATCTGGATGCATGCCGACACCATGAGCAGTATATGTCATATTACTATTATACACCAAAAGGGTAGTTGTTGGATTAGGGTTATAATATACGCCAAGCCAATTTGTATTCCATGTAGCATTTTCTGGGAACCACGCAACCATTCCAGTGCCTCTGGGGTCTTGGTCTAAATGTGTAAATAACAAAAATTTTCCAGTAACAACCTCTCTGTATCCATAAGACCATACCGAAGATGGATTGTGTATTGCTGAAAAATCGTTATTTAGAGACCATGTTGAAGATGATGAGCCCGACATTATTATTTCAATATTATTCAATGTTAATGTTCAATATTAATGTTCAATATACTTTCTTATATCAGAAATGTTTACAGTACGTACAAAGGCTTATTTTTTCAGCCAAATTATTTAATAATATTTAATTGATCTCCTTTTATTACATGTGACAATGCAGTGTAATAAGTTTTTTACATACAGTATGTAATGGTTTTATGCAGCCGGAATTCTTTTTTTTTCCTTTTTTAGTATGCTTTATTTTTTAAATAATAATTCACTCGCATATGTAGCAGCAATATTTTTATATATTATTATCTTTGTTAATTATACATTGCATATTTAGGCCTTCAATAGTATCTGGAGCGAATGCTCATAGAATTAATGGTTATAATTATGTATATGATTTTACAAAGAAAACCTATATTCCAGGTAAATAATATTACTCTTTTTTTTTTTAAAAAAAAAAAAAACAGCTGTTATCCGACAAACTCATATGATCATGAAAAACTTTCTTTTTGTTATTTTTTTCATGTGTTACGATGTAATTATGTTATGTTTATTCCAATATTCAAATTAAAAACTCAGCGAGTCACTCCCTACCAATCATGATCATAAATTGTCGGATAACACCATTATTGGGCAAAAATTATCGAATACGGTAATTTGACAAATGGTTGGCTACACGTACCGCTTTGTGGCACGTGCTCATTTTCCAAATTACCGTTATTCGACAATTTAAGCCCAATAATGTATACTTATTCATTATAATTTATCAAGTTATTTATGATAATGGGAAAAGATTAATAATTTTTCATCATGTTTTAAATTAAAAAAAAAAAGATTCATAGTATTTATTAAGTTTGATTGTTGTCTGGAGCGTAGTAGAGGGCTTATACATACCGTAGAAAATATTTCGGTATTGATTTTTAATATGAAACTGCTGAGGTGCCTAATTGGTTTCATATCAAAAAGCATTGCTGAAATAGTTTTTATGGCAGTATAGGAGGACGAATTTTTATACAAAGTGATTCTAGAATCCATTGAAGCATTTATAGTAAAAACTTCAAAAAACGGAACTTTGAGTTTTCTGCTTGCCGTCATTGCATAATTGTGCAACACAACCAACTCATATGGCTTTGTTCCTAGTTTAGATAATATTTAAGGAAAACTTTCCGAAAATTCTTAATTTGTACACTTTAAATAAACTATGTTCTGCAGTGAATTGAATATTTTTATGAGCGATTTGCGTTATTAGTGACACAGTTTCATCTTTGTTTTTTCTATAAAAAAATTATGGATATTCTAATCTTAGATCTCAAAAACAAAAATTCTGCCTTCAAATCATTAGCGTGTTTACTTCTTAATATTATTTATTTCTTAAAATATCAAATAAAAGATGATATTTAAATACATTTATAGATAAATACGTATTGTACTTTGTAAAAGGGTAAATCATGGAAAATTTTCTGTAAATAGTAGATTAGATACATCATATTTACTTACGAATATGGAGCATTTATTTCGTACAAAATTGAATGATCTACGAATTCGTTCGAATTTGTACGAAATAAATGCACCGTATTCGTCAGTAAATATGTATCTAATCTACTATTTACAGAAAATTTATCTCAAGCCATGATTTACTCTTTTACAACGTACATTAGTGATGCCTGACGAAACCATGTGATGCTAATTGTCATATGATGATATAATTCAATGGAAAATGATATTTGTACCAATCGGAAGTTGTGGTAAATCCGATACAATTATGATATATACAGTGGAATTAATTTATAATATCTTGGTTATTATTAATAAATAACACGTATGTAATAATAACAGATAATAATCAAGGATTAATGAAGCACAAACAATGTACTGTACTAATAACAATTCACACTTAATAAAAAACTCAAAGAAATTATTTTGAATTCGATGGTTATTACTCTAAGAAAAAAATTAATTAATTTTAAAAAACAAGCATTTTTTGTAATAAAACCCTATATAAAACCTTTTTAAATTTCTGAATATATGCAGAACTTGAATCTCTTAATGCTCAGTAACTACGTAGTGCTTACATAATGTCTATGTAGTTACGATTAAATTTAATAGTAATTATGTAATTACTATGCAATTACTACGTATTAAGATATTTAAGTTTCTATAATTTCTGATTTCCTTGTTATAATTTTATAAAGAAAAACAATTATAGCCCGAATCGGAAATATTCAGGAATTTACACTAAGTATACAGTAATACAATACGATACAGTATGCTCTTTTCTAACTCCCATTATTAAATTTGATAATCCTTGGGTTTTTTATTTACAGGACATCATTCAAATAGATGTTCTATACCGAATTTACATGGGGCAAAAAGCGTCGGGAAATAAAATTTATTTAGCGGAAAATAGTTAAAATTAGTCAAGATTAAGATGAATATGCATAATTGATAAAGCTTATTACGTAAATATGACATTTTTATTAATAAAAAAGATTGAAATG